AGGTTACGTTAAATAACATCCGGTCCGCCATATTATTTGCCCAAATCGGCCAATTTTTCGGAACGTTTTTTAGGGGGATATATCCTATCCAGTAAAATAATACAGATCAGTGATAAATTGCTAGTTTTAACAAACCTTTACCATATGTAACATAACCTGAAAATGTTCCGGTATATTTCTTAAAAGCAGGTCTGTAAGTTTTATTTTAGGGGCGGAGTTTTCTATCTCAGAAAGCTGCTCACTGCGACCATTCTCCGTATAGTAGGAGAAAATCGAAGTATGTGACCTACGTTTCAAATGTTTTGTTCTTTATTATACCTTTATAATTATGTCATAAAACGCAATTATCGATTCCGTTAAAAATTAAAGGCGAATTTTAACATCCCTTTAAAAATGATTGTTATTAGAGGACTATGTTAAAGGAATCCATTTAACTAATGACAGAAGTAAGTTAGTGAATACGAAAATATATTTAAAGGCCGCCAATATTTTAACTACCGTTAAAATATAAAGGAATGGGCCATGTTCACATGTGAGATATGCTGTTTTATAAATTATATTGTAATAGTTAGTCGCTATACAAGTTATTCTAAATAGTCAGTTCGTTAAAAAAGCCAAAAGTTTTTAAATTAAGCCCAATTGAAATTTAAAATTTGAAATTATACGTCATCGGGAATAGACCAATCATCTTGTGTCGAAGTTTTTTTTGTTATACAAAACCAAGCCAACGAACAAACCGACACACAGAATGTCGAAGTGAACGCACATCTAAGTGACATTAAAATTGACACCACCTAACCTTAGTTTTTTGTTTTGGTTTAATTTTATTATTAATATGAATCAGCTGGATTTATAAAAGTTGAATCAAGTATTTTACCCACATACAGAAAATCAAAGTATGTGGTTTTACCCATTGTAAACGAAAATATGTTTACCGAGATGATTACTGCATTTTTTAACAATAAATACTCAGTTTACAAAAGTCAGAAAGGTAAGACTTTGTTTTAATAGTAGGTAGTTACAGTTTATATGGAGCAATACACCTTATAGTAAAACATATTTATCTCAGGTTTTATTTTTAGATCTGCCAAGCAAGAATATGGGGATAATTTCTTTTTCCATAAGAAAGAAGGAGACAAATTACACCTAAACATAAAGTACTTCAAAAACCTTCTGATGTGGTTGTTGTAATTAACAAAAATGAAATTTTTAGTGCACAATGCTTAGGATATGCTGCATGTCAAGGTTTGTAATATTTATTATGCTTTTTTGTTTTTATATTACATATAATAAACAGTGTATAAGGCCCTTTATTCCTATAAATATTTTTTTTCTAATTTTGACATATAGACATTTTTTGTTCTCGCAGCAAGTGTTAAAATAATCTAGAAATATATTTTGTTAGTGAACCTAGTAATAATTATGATACCAAAGAATGCTGCAGAGCACCTATGAAATTTTGAGTTAAAAAATATGCCATATTTTCAGGCTATTTTTATACCCTTTTCAAAAATTTTATGCTCCTCGTTTTTTGCAAAACTTAAAAGGCTCTGATAGCTTCGAACGAAGTCAGCAAAGCACCTCTGTTTTATAAAGTTTTTTCTGTAAAAAAAACACCATATATTTATGCACTTGAAATATTATATTTTTAAAAAAATACATGGTGCTTGCTAACCTTCGAAAGAAGCCAGCAGAGCAATTCGGTTTTTAAAGCTTTTTTCTAAAACCACACCCCATTTTTAGAATATTTTTAGACTCTTGAAATATTGTAAAACTTTACTAAAAACTTGCTATTTTTAAATAATACAGGGTGCTTTGTTGGAACAAAGTCAGCAGGACACTTCAGTTTTTTAATTTGTTTTTTTATATATAAAAACAACTACTTATGTAAAATGTGGTAAGTACATTTGTTTTCAGAAAAAAAACTTTGAAGTCAGCAAGGAATTGCGAATTTTTTTTAAAATGCCAAATTTCGAATATTTTATAATATTGTAGGAGCCAAAAAACGTGGTGTGGTTTAAAAAAAAACTGGGGTGCTCTGCTGGATTCGTTTGAAGCTAACAAAGCATCCCGTAATTTTTTATTTTATAATACTCAATAGTCTAAAATGAGACATAGCTGTTTAAACAAAAAATTGTATTTTTAAAAATAGCAGTTTTTTTCGAAAAGCTCTATAATATTTCAAAAATGTGAAAATGTGGTGAGATTGTTTTTTTTTAAGTTTTGAAAATCCGAGGTTCTTTACTGGATTCGTTCAGAGCTAGTAAAGCTCTGCTCGTCTTGTTACATAAAATAAGGCATTTTGTAGCTGGTTATATAGTTATTTTGTAACTGCATATCTAACCCTTTTATTTTTTCAGGTGGTTGTAAATATGTGGCTTCATAGAAGAAGTGAGGAACCATCTGTAACATCTACTCAGTGTTATTGGAAAGGCTCTAATTTATCAAAATGCGTAAATATTGATGTACACTTGACTATATTGTTAAAGAAACCTCTTCATCCACTACAGGAAAATAAATCAGTACTTTTATATTCTTAGTATTTGTATATATATTTTTTATTTGTAAATAAATTGTTTTTACTTCATTTTCCTCATTTTTTATTAAAAGGTTAATAAATAACATTTTCACAGATTTTTATATTTTTGTTTGTAAACAATAATTGAAGAGTTTTTATTAAAAATCACCAATGTTAATAATAATAACTTAAGTCAATATTATTCTTTCTCCTTTTTTAAAGCTACTATCAATAAAGGTATTACTTTAGCTTGACCTATGATCAATTTTTAATTTTGTGATGTATTTGGTTCGACAGAAAAAAAATTATAACCCTTTGACATTGGTTGTTTTTACTTAATTTTCATAAAAAATAAACGGAACTGCAAATATGTTTTACTATCGTAATAACGAATAGCAACATTAAATTTTTTTTTCACATTTATCACTGTTGTCATTTTCATAAAGGATTGATAAGAAGGCACACTTTCTGGTTTTTTGAAAAAGGTGGCAAGAATTGTGATATTTTTAAATTTATCACCAGTGATACCACATGTAGTTACCCGATTTATTGGAATATATAGACTTTGCTACCACATTCAACTGAACTTGGTTGTTTTTAATATTTATCACTGTGACATAGGCGTTTTTGTTAAAATGTTTCATTTTAAACTGCTGTAAATAGGTGCCTTTGTTTTGGTAGTTTTAGTCAAAAAAAAAATCTATGCATATACGTACTCAATCCTCTTTGATTTGCTCGAAAAGTTAAAATTTTATAAAAAATTACATTGGCTGTTTAAAAACTCATTATAATCCCTGAAATGTGATAATTAGGTAAATTAAATTAAATAACAAACAAAAAAGTTTATTAAATTAATATTTACTCTTATAAAATAGGTTCTTGTAAGTTAACACGCAATTATGCAGATATTACTAAGTAAATGTACTTGCTTAAAATTCACACACGAATGTGGTTTTAACATGTTAAATTAACTATCCCTTCTTATAACTCTTTCCACATGTATTCTTAGAGATGCTATTCTTTTACTTAATTGTACATCTTCTGGAGAACTTTTTTCATTCTGTGATACACTAGGTGTGGCTTTACTAAAGTGCATCCCATGTTTTCAAGTAGCTGAATATTCTGAAACCCCTATCTGCCATTATATGGGATCCAGAAACCAGTTTGTTTAAATACCCACATTTTTTTATTATTTCTTTATCACTAGTTCTTCCACAAAATGATGAATAAATTCGGTATCTTCAAAACTTTCAGGAGATTCTGCATTTTCTTCCAGAAGGGTTTTTAGGTTATACACCTAAGAATTTATAGCAGCCTCATTTTCAATTTCCTGAAGGGGACAATTAGCAGAAATTGCTGCTACATCTTAATAATCCGGTGTATTTTTATTAAAAAGTTCACGAGAAACATCGCTAGTAGAAGGTTCATTTTCTTCTTTCCAAACTTCTAGGAACACTAATAAATATTTTTGAAGATGAATGTGAATCATTATCACATTCTGGAACAAAACACTTGATCGAGACACTATGATGACAGATGCCATACACAGTGCTGCCATTTTGCCATTTTCTGAATTATTAAGAGACTTTTAAAACAATGAAACTTTAAATATGGTAAAAGTTTAAACAGAAATAATACTTTCAAAAAACATTTGATATTATATATTTAAAAGATATTTGTTTAACGATGTTTTAGAAGTCTTAAAGTAAGAAGGAGTACACAAACGAACGTACATCCCTTCTCGTAAACCTTCTAGCCGGCAACGTTGTGCGCTAGCTCCTATTGGTCTATTCCCGGTGACGTCATAAATTTTAAAAAAATTCATAACTCCGGCAAATGAATAGATAAAAAAAATAAAAAAATGTAGTTTTATTTTCAACTCTATTATTCATAAAAAAAATTTCAAAATTTTTGAACATGCCCCATTGTTACAGAATAGACCCCAATATACATATTTTACACGCGTCAAATGGTAACACGCTGAAAAAGAAAAAGTAGTAGACTTTGCTTCAAGTATACTAGGGTACCAGATTCTTAGAGAATGTACTAGATCCACTGATCTGAATAATACAGATCAGTGACTAGATCTAGCACAATTGTATTAGACTGGCAACACTGCTTCCAGCTCCCAGCTGGACAATGAAAAGAGATTAACATATAGAAAGTCAAGGAAGCAACAGCTTCCCTATACAAAAATATATTTATTTTATGCTTTTATGTAAATTTTAAATAATAAAAAATAGTGAAAGCAAAGTGTGTCCTTGATTGAGTTATCGAAGTTAGGGGGTGGTTCCATATAAATTTGGTCAAGATGTGGTGATAGCATCTGTACGATTTTAAGATCAATTTTTTTAAATTCCTTTAAATACTTGTCATAAATTATTAGCTATTTAATCCATCTTGTGCAAACAAACAAAAAACAATTCATGTCCGGCATTCCCGATCAAACTCTTTCAAATACGTTTTTGTATAAATATATATTTCTCTTTTTATACATTAAGACTGACAATAATGTTATCAACAATATACATTTTTTCAAAAAATATTATTATATAATTCTACTTCAATTATTTGTTCAATGGAACAAGATGTCTGCATTACTCGTTTGTTCGATTACTTTTTATGTTTATTTTATATGTTTAAATAGCTTTACTGCGGAATGATTTTTTGGAGCTCTCTATAAACATCATTAGGTCGCGAGACATGGCGTAAGGACGTGCCATACCGTCGTTGAGGAGGCTGTCTTCGCAGGAGCATAGGAAGAGAGTATCGATTGTGGTCTGAAAAAAATTAATAAAAACGAATATTGATATGCGAAAAAGCGACAAGATTAATTACCAATTTGTGTATTAAGACCGAAAATATGTTCTCATTATTTTAAGAAATAGATATAAAATCTGAAAATATCTGAATTTAATTTATTGCAAATAGCCTACTTAAAAGTCTAATTGCGTATCGTGTATAATATTGTGCCTACCTCCTAAATCTTTCTAGTGGATATTGTTTATCAATATTGTTGAATTTCACTAAGAACTAATTATATTGTGAAAATATGGTAGAAATTTATAATTATTATTTAGTAAATATATTTATTTGCCTACATAATATGTTCATTTTACATTCTATTTGACATGAGATAGGAGGCGAGCTACAAAGCTGTCACTTAATGTCAATTCGCGGAAAACCTCAATTTTCCGGTTGGATTTCAAAACGCAGAAGACTTTACTTTAGATAGTGATCGTAGAGAAAGTATATTTGTTAAAACAGTGTCTGTTTGAAAATGAAAAGTGGCATCGGTACCGACAACTATGTCTAGTCAAAATTTGTTTTAAAGTCGTTTTCATAAAAAAAGTAGTAAACTTACCCCAAATGTGGCGAACAGTGTTAGAGAAATTAAAAGCGATACAGAGAATACGATAAGATAAACAAGGAATGAGTAGTCCGATTCAGCACCCTGAAAAAAAACAAAAAACCAGTTCAATTCATATTATTAATATTATTAATATTATTAATATTATTAATATTATTAATATTATTAATATTATTAATATTATTAATATTATTAATATTATTAATATTATTAATATTATTAATATTATTAATATTATTAATATTATTAATATTATTAATATTATTAATATTATTAATATTATTAATATTATTAATATTATTAATATTATTAATATTATTAATATTATTAATATTATTAATATTATTAATATTATTAATATTATTAATATTATTAATATTATTAATATTATTAATATTATTAATATTATTAATATTATTAATATTATTAATATTATTAATATTATTAATATTATTAATATTATTAATATTATTAATATTATTAATATTATTAATATTATTAATATTATTAATATTATTAATAATATTAATATTATTAATATTAATATTATTAATATTATTATTATTAATATTATTAATAATAGTATTAACCTTTTCACCCTCTGAATATCTGTATGCCTAATTTGATTATTTCAAGCACATACATCAACAAGTAGGAACACATATGAGATCGTTTTAATACAATAATGACAGTTTCTACACTATGGTAAGTTACAAGCAATGCATAAAATTCTTGTCCGGGATTCTTTTTTCTGGAGGCTACAGCGGTGGCATCGTCTTCTCGCAATACCTTCTAATGAAAGATGGTCGCGAATATTTATCATCGTTTTCTTACGTTTAGTTTAGGGGCCTGATTTTACACTTAACCGCCTCTTCACACCTGTTTTTTCACTACTTTTTTCAACCCTTTGTTATCTTAATGGCAATAATATTATTAATAATATTAAGGACGCAGCTACGAGCCACATAAAAGTAGCTATAATAGACAAGGATAACCCTTACGGTAAGATAACTACCTAAAGAGAAATCTTTGTTAAAAATACACTCATGGCTGAGTGGACAAAACAATGTTGTCTGCCTTCTGCAGTAGAACCAAGCCGCCCACATTCAGGTCTTGGACGTACACTGGTAAAATCATCAGAGTAACGTGCGACGATGACCGGACGTTAGAATGGCTAAAAACCAAGGTACTAACCTTAAAAACATATGAAGGAGCAACACTCACTGTTGTAAGGATGGACGAGTTCCCCAAGACGAGAAGGAGGTTGTACTCAGACGACTTGAGAGGCAAAACCCAGTCTTGCATGTGGCGAAATGGTGCACCTTCCACCATGAAACCAAAAAGACCCCAAGGCCAATCTCTTTGTCTTTGGCATCGGATACGAAGACATGGGAACCCTTAAAGCCAAATCAATGAGGGTGAGCTATGTGTTCACCTCATTGACCATAAAGCCAAAGGTTGAAAAAGAGGCTGAAGCGGTGCCCAGTAAAGACTCCTTTGCAAAGGGCCCTCTTCCACCCCAATTTAAGCCAACCGTTGAGGACGTCGAACCAGAAAAAATGGCAATCGATGACCTCCAGCAAGAAAACGCCGAGGAGACACACGAGATCACCCCCTCCCACTTTCGAAGGAAGAGATGGTCGAATAAATAACTACCCTGCTGCCCAAACTTCAACGGAGGACCATGAAGCATTTAAAGAGGTAACAATTAAAGAATGTAACTTACAGCACAAAAGGGTGGCTACGTCAGCATTATGCCACCGCCGACTGGGCAGAAGAAGAATACATCCCATCTGATTACGATTGGCAAACTCCCAAACACAAAAATTATCATCAAACAATATTTTATTTAAAAATGTCAGATTAAAATCTAAACCAATATGAGCGTTCTACAAGAGGAGAACCTCATCGAATTTATTCGGGTCCTTTACTTTTAAGAAATTTATACATGATATACTCAAAAAATTCACTGTTTTAAAAGCCGAGAAATTTAATTAATTAAACTCTTACCAACATAATTACAACTGTGATTAACAAAGATATCAACACGATCAGTAGTTGAGCCATTCCGAGTACAAAGTCGCCGACAAAGTTGACGGTGGCAATATTAACAGCATTTTGGAAAATTATTTGGGCTGCTCTCTTTCCGGATTTGTAGAAAGGTTTACCGTGCATGGCTAAAAAGAAAATTAGCAAAATTTATCTATCAATAAAATTATAAAAAATATTCATTATATTCGTCTATAAATTGTTCGTACCAGTAATAATGTACGAATTCTTGCTTAAGAATTTAAGAAACGATTCGATGGAGCCAGCGCACAAGTCAACCAAAATTTTAAAACTCTTAGACTGGGTTAAAGAGGTGAGCAGTGATCTGATAATGGCGATCAGTGTAATAACCAGTGATCCAAAAGCGATGCTACCAAGATGAAATTTGTATACGATGCTGACGCTCTCTTTTATCGGACTCTCCAGGTTATTTTTGTTCCTAGAAACAAAACAAACAAAAAAACTGTTATAGGTGTTCAGCTTGGAATCGCATAGCTAAATTAGATTAGATTAGAAAAATTTTATTTACACATTAAAAGATTTATCTACATGTCAAAAACTAAATAATGTATACACAACACTACCGCGATACGATCCTTTCGTGCGGGTCCAGGGAATCATGGAGGACAAATCCGCTTATAATAATCATTTTTGATTTCAATTGGTGAAATATTTTAGCACTCACTCCTTACCGTTTTGGTATTATTTAGGGATTTTGGTTATTTTGGTATCAGTAATGGAAAATGGGTAGGTATTGTCGTGTTTTAGTTCTGATTTTTGTCCCCTGAAAAAGCTAGAAAAAACAGGGTTGTCCTTGTGTGTACGCTTGTAAAGACTTAGGTTATTTACTATATCCCACAGGCAGAGCGATCGAGGTACTTTCCCATCACAGCAGCATTCACGAATGTAAATTTTCGCTTTTGTTATTCCGATGGCCGATCCACCGATCAGTCCGACGCCCGACTAGTCACTCGCGTATCAGAGACAATACTAATCATTTGTAATTGCTGTGGTGGGAGGTGTTTGTGTGAATACGTCTTGTTTGTTTCCATTTACGCCGTGACTAGCAGTAGTATTTTATAAACCTTAGAAGCAAATTTCACTTACATGAACAAATAATAATAATGCTGTGACAACAAGAAGACGAAGCAATGACTTCTCGTGAGATGGCGGCTTCGCCGCCACCATAAAGTTTTAATCCATACCTGGCTACGCCGACCGGAATAAACACCAACGGCCTGGACACAGCTCATCTACTCTGTCAAAAGGAGACCGATGTACAAATAAAACGCGTAGGACATGCTCACTACAAATTATTAGTGTTGTCCCCGATACGCGAGTCAACTAGTTTGTGTAAATGGCTAGTCAATGTGAGATATTTAATTTGTCTGGGAGCGTTAAGAAGGTTGTTACTGTCTGTGTCTTTGTCGATAAATGTCAAGTTTGGCGTGGATACAGCCGTATTTTCTACGCACGTTGTCTCCCCGATAGATGTTAAAAATGTCATCTTTCATATTATCTGGAGGCACCGCTTGTAAACTTTTTCGGCTGTATCCATAACGTAATCTTTAATTAGTGGAGTCTGTGCTAGCCGAAAACTTCTGTTTTGGGCTATCTGTAATTTACTGTAATAAGTATTTGCCATGGAGCAAAAAACCGGACATTTATATGTCAGGATTGGTCTTAATATTGTCTTAAAAATTAAGGGTTTATTGGACAGGGTGACCTTGCTTATATAGAGTATAGTGTCTTATTGGCTCTGTGTTTCTTTGCCACCCTGTCTTTTATGTTCAAAAGTTAATCCCCTATCTAACTGAAAACCTAGATAATTCATCCTGTCTCCTGTAGGTATTTCCTGGTTTTCGATCTTCAGGGGTATGTGAATGCTCCGAGATCTTCTTTTAGTGATGAGCATGCTCTCTGTTTTTGCAGGAATAATTTTCATTTTGTTTTTAGTTAGATAGGGTATTAATCTCCTGTTTATATGGATGTCCAGGCTTCTTGTAGCTCTTTCGTCCGAGTGATTACTTTTAAATAGGTAGATGTCATCGGCGTATAGTGCCGTTTGTACCCCATTATAACTCATTGGAATTTCATGGGTCATAATTGAGTTCAAATGGGGCGACAGTACTGAGCCTTGGGGTACTCTCGCCAGCGTAGAGTAGAATCCTGTTATTGTATTGTTTATTTTAAAATTGAAGAGTCTGTCCGTTATGTAGGAATGTATTATTTTTACAATGTGAATGGGAAAATCATTCACAAGCATTTTATGAATTAAACCACAGATTTCGCTATCAAGCGCCACTAGCACCATTTGCTTATTGATGTTTGACGCCTCTTTGGCACTATGTACGATTCTGATGATCTATGCAACAGTGCTGTGTCCACTTCTGAACCTGTACTCCTCCTGTGGGATAAGTCATTGTTGTTCTTCGATTTTGGTTTAAAATGATTTTGTCAACTATTTTTGAAATTGTATTTAACAGCGAGATGGGTCTACAATTGTCAATTCTATTAGAGTTTTTGCCTGCTTTTAAGATGGGTATAATATTTGCAATTTTCAGGCAGCTAGGGTAGTGTTACAGCCTGAAAATTGCATTTACTATATGTAATTAAGTTGTACAACCCCCTTTTTAGGTAAATTTTTATTTAGGATGTTCTAATGTTTGTTATACCTTTTCACAACCCTCCACAGAGAATTGTCCCTCGGGTTGATTTCAGACAGGGTTTTTCGCCATATTGTCGGCTTTAGATGCAAATGGCTTAACTCCACTTGTTACCAAAGATACGTTTCATTGTTACCCGTTAGTTAAAGATCTATACTGTCGATTCAAAATCGCCTACCATGCCTATTTTAAATATTCGCGCCAAAAATTACATGACTCGTTTTGTATAACCCCTTAACATTAAGGTTAGGTCTGAAATATTTTTTGTCTTTCCTAAAAAATTAATATTTTAGGAGCTAGGCCATTTGCATGTTAGGCCGACGATATGTTGTTTTAATGTTTATTTCTTTGTTTATATGTTTAGAAATGTCCATTAGTCTAACCATGTCTTCATCTCTCCTGTGTAACTGCCACCTTTTACGAATTTGGTTTTTGTTCGCGAAAAGGTCTATGATTTCAGGTGGCAGTGTGTCTTTAAGTGGTGCTATTATTTTGATTTTTGTCGAGTCGTCTCTAGCTTTTTGTACGACTGTTATGAATTCGTGTGTTATTTGTTCTAGTAGTTGTGTATTAGTGATATTATTGTTTAACGTTAGTGTTTGCTCGATTTTTGTCTATATTTGTTCCAGTTTGTTGTTTTATAGTCAAAGGATTGTTTTTGTCTTCTGTTAATTTTCTGTGTGGTTCGGATTTCCAAGGACACTGGATCATGATCTGAATTTAAGGTACTGATCGTTCTGATATTTTGTACATCAGATATGTTTTTTGTGACTGCGATGTCCAGTGTACTTGGGGTGCCGCCATTAAATGGGGTGCATGTTGGTTCGTTCGTATAGTATATTAAGAGCTCATTGTCCTCGGCGAAGTCTCTCAACAAATTACTGCAGGTTTGGCGTGGATACAGATCGCGTCCCACTAGGGATGTTTACAATTCAAGTTCTCAGCTAGAAAAACTCTGCTACCTTTTGACATTAACGCATGCATGTCTGCAAGATTTTTCTTACCGGGGGGTTTGTATTATGATAAAGTTACAGCACTTTATGATTGTATATTCCACATGCTGTGAGGTGTTTAGTTTTGGCAAATGCACATATTTAAGATTATTTTTGACAATTATGGCAAACCCTTCCGCTGCCATTTGTCGTACGTTGTGTCCTGTCGCGTCATTCTCTATCTCTTAGACTCTATCCTGTCTGATAATATTATGTTCTTTGATTCTAATTTTGTCGGTTTGGTTTAGATTCACATACTTTGATTACTATACGATGCAAGAGAGAGTTCCGACACGCCCAACATAGGGCGCGGCCATTTTGATGCCTTTACCACAGTTTATAGCTAAAGAATCAGTTCGCTCACTCTGCGTCGGCACTTTTGATCTCAATGTTCCAGCTTATACACTGCGCAACTCGGATAATACAATATATGACAACCGCTTATAATAAAACAGCAGTCTTCTGCGCTTCCTGAATTTGTATCCCTGGAGTGGATGTTAGTTTGAAACTTTGTGAGCTAACTGATTCTTTAGCAATAAACTGTGACTCCAAAAATAATATTCACTGACACTGACAGCAGCAAGCAAAATATCAGGTGCGTTTTAATCATCCGCTTCTGCTTTCGGAATTGTCGGTTCAGTCGTTCTAACCTGTCAGATTAAAACAAGAAAACCGACAATTCCGAAGCAGAAGCGGATGATTAAAACGCACCTATTAAAAATATTGCGCCAAGATGTAGGCAACACGTAATAAGTGTTCAAAATGGCGGAGTTTTCTATCTCCTTTTAAAAGGCACTCAGAAAGCTGCGCAGTGTGACAATTCTCCGTATAGTAAAAGAAAATCAAAGTATGTGAATCTAAACACATAATTTGATCAGTTAGCTAACTCGGACCAGTTGAAAGTTCCAAAATAACATCCATTCCAGGGATACAAATTCAGAATGCGCAGAAGACTGCTGTTTTATTATAGGCGGTTGTCATTTATTGTATTATCCGAGTTACGCAGTGTATAAACTGGAACAATGAGATCAAAAGTGCCGACGCAGAATGAGCGATCTGATTCTTTAGCTATAAACTGTGGCATAGGAATCAAAATGGCCGCGCCCTTTGTTGGGTGTGTCGGACCTCTCTCTTGCACCGTATAGTAATCAAAGTATGTGCTCTGATGTTTCTGATGTCAAACTTATGCTTGCGAATGAAGTTTGTTACTAAGCCGCGTTTGTAGAAACCTTAGAACATAATATTCTAAGGTGAAAACAGATTATGAGTTTGTCTTTGTGTATCGGGTTGAATTTAATTTCTGAATTTATAACTTTTATTTTTTACAAAGTTATTGTATACGGTAAATATGTCGCGTTCGTCTCTACACTATCTTAGGGAGTTGTTGAGGTCCCGAACGGCTCGGGTGAGTTCTGAAATATTTATCATACTGTTTAGTATGTTGAATTCATCATTAAGGGCGAACATATTATCCATAGTTCCCTGTTCTGTGTTGTTCGTGGTTTGTCTAGTGGGTCGTAGCTAAATTAAATACAGATATGATCACGGATTTACCGATATCTTGTACAGGCATGAAAAAAATACAACCTAACAGGATACAGAAAAATATAAGGGAGAAAACAATAATCAGAGCCACAAAAAAGAAATCATGGAAAGTGTTTGGAATAGAAGCTTTTGGACAAAAATAAGTAGAATGAGAGGAAGATTGAGAAAATAAATCGAATTAGTAAGAGACTCTAGCCATCAACTTCAGAAAAACACAACCCAAAACAAAAACCTAA